AAATTTTTTTGTGCTTTTACATCACTTTAATTTTTTTGTTTTATTCCTTGTTTTTCTCCATACCATCCTTTGTAGCACAAATGTTCTGTCTTCTTGACAAAAACAATGTTCATCCAGTTAAAAAGTTTAGATTTGAGGTAAGTGATTTCAATTTTCTCTTCCTACAGTTACTCAATAAAACCCTATGGAATTTATCAATTTTTTTGTCAGGGTTTATCCAAAATCAAAGGTCTCTACATTAAGTTATGGACCTCATTTTTTCAGCTGGCATTTATATCCCAAAGGCAACACATGTAGACCATAAATCTGAGGGGTGAAAAACAAGGTTCTGTAACTTACAGTAGTGACTAAGAAAAGAAGATCAGTACAATATTTAGTCTCTCTCTCTGGATTCAAATAGAGGGGAAGAAACCAAATCAAACAAACTTTTGAATTTAGCGTGCTATACAGTGAAATACAGCCTGCTAAATTGACCAATCATTTTGCTTGTATTAACTGAGAAATATAATCAGCTACATTATTGATTGTTGTTGTGTTACTGGAATGCAATACATATTAGTCATTTAAAGCAAAAACACTTAATTTTCAAAGATGCAAATGTGCCCTCTCTGAAAAGTGACTTATTAATACTTGATTTGTATTTGAAAATTATACATAGCATCATGCTATTACACTTGTATGCTGTATAGATTCCTTTTCCCTGTTTCTAGTCTGTGGATTTACAGTAAAAGCTTTGTATTGCTTCATCAGGTGAAAGTTGATGACATTGAAGATGGCAATGGTGCTAACATCTTTGCATATGGATTTGACTTATCAAGAGAAAGAACAAGTGGATGCTATTTCCATGAATGTAATGGTAGTGAAATGTTTGTTGCCTCTCTGACTAGCCTTTAAGAAAGAATGTTCTCCAGTCATTAAATACACAAGAATAGTTGTTAAATAGTTGCTAGTCTTGGCATTTTGTTTATTAAAGTTAGCTCATTGTTGACTTACTTATAATGAATTCAGAAGTATGTCATTTGTCTTGCAAGAAAGGTTGTCTAATTTGCTAAGTACGTGTATAAAGAAATGGTAAGTTAATAACTACTTCAGTTAACTGAAAGGGACCTCAAGGTATTTACAGCTACAATTGTTTCCAATAGTTTATTTATTTATTTATAATAACTTCATTTGCCTAAATAATAAGATAATAATAATGATAATATAAAAAAAGATAAAAAAAGCAGAGAAAATAATTACAGCATATTTACAGACAGATGAAAAATAAAAATAACATCGAAATGCAAAATGGAAAAAAGAGTCAAGCCAGAGAGGAACTAAATCCTCATTAACAGCAGGCCCCAGAATGAAAGAAACATGCAATAAAAATAGAACTAAAATTTAAAGGTAAAAATCATTTGAAAAAAAACTCAATTGATAAATAGATACTGGTGCAATATCATTGATATTATTTAAAAGTGTGATCTTTCAGTTTTTTTAAACTTACTAGCAGAGCTAGAGCTAATTATGTCATTTGGCAAGTCATTCCAGATTTTTATATATTT